CGCTCAACCCTCATGTGTGTGATCACAGCAACACACACACACACACCGATCTCATCGCAGGACACCCCTCATAACATACTGTCATTATATGGCAAAACCACATTATGAAACTGATATCTATAGCTCTGAACTCTGATTGGATGAGCCGTGTTTAAAGCTGTTGCAACAAAAAAAAACTGATATACATATCTTTGATCGTACATTTATTGAATACTGTATTAATGTGGCCCAAAAAAAAACTTTATGTTGTTTGTTATACATAAACAAATATATATATATATATATATGTATATATTTATGTATTTTAAAACATACAATTTTATATTTTAAATAACACACACACACACACACACACAGGAAAAGCCACAAGATGCTGTGCATGATTACATGATAATGCATAAAATAAATGTACAATTTAGGGGTGTTGTTGAAACCCTCCAAAAATGTCTAAAAACATATATTTAAAATAATTGAAAAGGATTTAACTTTACATTACTTTACAACCATCTCAGCAGTCCCCTAAATGCGTTATATTAAAGCTGTAATATACAAGCTTATCAAAGAAATTAATGAGTGTTTTCATAAGACTTCAAGATAATGTACAAATGTCAAGTGTCATTAAATCATCCAGCGCTGTACAGTCAGACTCCATCGATTTACCCAGAAACCCTTGAGATCCTCATCAGCCCTGAATAACAGCTTGATGAAAAGATTCATAATCATCATTATAAGCATATATAATTACAAAACAGAGCTGTGGTGCATTTTAGTTCAAAAAATGATTACATTTAATCAGGACGGACGAGGACTTCGAGCACGTCTTCATCTTTGGTCCTGTGTAATCTACGACATGCACAAACTTCAGCCTGACATTTGGACTTTTCCTCTAGTCTTTGCCCGTTGTTCTGTCTTTGCTTACACCAGCTTGTTAAAACACCCACTCACGTACACACACAAGGCAATAATCAGCTCCATTAAGCGGATAATTGCTTGAGTTGTGTAATTTAGGCTAGAACATGACTGAGGCTCTGGGTACGGCTCAGCATGTGTCTGTCCCTCATGTTCCTGCGGAGAACAGATTTATTGAGCCCTGGAACTGACAGACCATCCTCGCTAAATTAATGTGGCAGAAACATGTTGTTCTGACGGTTTACAGTTGTTGGTTTTTTTTGTTGTGTTTCTGTGTGTTATTCTCTGGCGCTGTGGGGCTTGTGTGAGCAGGTCAATGGGTCAGGACTCACGCGCATTAAACAGCTCAGACAGGTACCAAAGCAATGCACGATTCATATCAACTGACTGCATGTGTTTTGAGTATGATTATCAGGATTAATTGAAGCTTATTTGTAGGGCCGTTCATTTTTTTTATTTTTATTTTTAGCATTTGTGACATTATTTTCATGACAATTCTGTACATTTTTCCACAAATTCTCATTACTTTAAAAGAAAAAATTACATTCTCTTTGATATAATGTGAAAAAAGTGATATACAGGTGCATCTCAATAAATTAGAATGTCGTGGAAAAGTTCATTTATTTCAGTAATTCAACTCAAATTGTCAGTTGTAAAATACATATAGTGTTGCTGTATTTATGGTACTGACCAGGGTTATTATTGTTAACTAAAAAAAAAAACTAAAACCAAAATAATAATAATAATAATACTTTTGTTACTGTTAATTTGGTTAATTAATAATGAATTTTGTTTTCTTTGTAAAAATTAACCGAAAGAAAAGCATACACTTTTCATTTAGTAAAACTTGAAATACTAAAATAACTAAAACTAATAAATACAAATTTATAAAATCTACATAGACAATTAAAACAAAATCAAAAACTAACAAAAATTACAAAAACAGCAACATTTCTGAAACTTAACTGAATGTAAAGTGAAAACATATATATATCTCAATGATACTAAAAAAAAAAACACTGGTACAGACTGTAATTTATGCTAAATTAGTCTTCGTTTTAGGCAATTTTCAGGCAATTAAGCTTCATTTTAGCTTTACCTTTCAGCTTTTAATATTATATATATATATATATATCTTTAGGTGAGGGATTGCCAAACTTTTTTTGTCAGCTGAAGTCTTTCTGAGATTTTAAATTAATATTTCAATAATTTAACAACACATTCAATAAAATATTTCATCTTTTTTTATTAAGAGTTTTATTTTGATCTTTTTTTTTATTTAATGTTTTATTTATTTTAATATTACATGTTTATGATTTAATGAGTTACTAGTGTTTCATCAACTCAAAAAAACTCCTAAAGCAGGGAACCCCTGCTTTAATGCTAAATAAATGAATAAACACACACAAAAAAACTAATTTGTATTGTTGGAATGTGAAAAAATAACTAATTGTAAAATACATGCACTTCATGGCTGTATTTATAGTACTGCCTGTAATTTATGCTAAAATAAGCCTCATTTTCTTATTTATTCTCATTTAAACATATATATATGAGGGAGAGTAAATGATGCTTAGGTGAACTCAGTGTGTGTGTTTGTCCACTAGGCGCTGTTGTCCATGTCTGAGACAGTCAGCGAGAGCAGAGAGACGAGTCTGAGTTGGTTTAACTCACTGATCCTGGAGCTGCAGCGTCCGCAGATACACATCACACCTGTGACAGCGCATGACGTCAGGTGAGACGTCTGGCAGTCTGCAGTTATGGAGGGAGCTGCTGGATGGTTTGGTCTGTGAGTCTGTGAGACTGAGACACACGCTGGGCCTTCAGGAGAACAACACCTGGACTGACACCTGTGAGGACAAAACACACACACACACACACACACACACTCATGCATGAAAGGCTGAGGTCTGACATTAAGCGTGCTGGTCCACAGCGGAGCAGAAGGAGGAGGAGGAGAGGAGAGGAGGAGCACTGCAGATGAAGGACGAGAGGAGACGAGCGAGTGTCAGAGAGCTGGAGGAGACGAGACGAGCTAAAGCAGCACTGAGAGCAGTGGAGGTCAGTGAGAGAGTAATGATGCTCCTCACCAGCAGAGGACAGCAAACCTCATCACAGACACACGCCGCTTTCCTCGCATCATGTGTTTGGTGAGGAGATCGTGGTGCTGCTGCTTCTTTACTGAGTGATCAGATGCAGCATTTTCATCCGCTGGAGCAGAAAACAGCTGACAAAATCCCAGGAGGAGCTTGATTCTCATCTACAGACCAGAAGAAAACACCTAGCAACCACCCAGAAAGCCCTAGTTACTGCATAGCAACCACTTGGAACACCCTAGCAACAAGTCAGGTCACCCTAGCAACCACCAAGAACATCTTAGCAACCACACAGAACTCCCTAGTTACTGCATAGCTGCCTCCCAGAACACCCTAGAAAGTGCGTAGTAACCACTCGGAACACCCCTAGCAACCAGTCAGGACACCCTAGCAACCACCAAGAACATCTTAGTAACCATAACCCAGAACTCCCCAGCAACTGTATACCAGCCTCCCAGAACACCCTAGAAACTGCACAGTAATCACTCAGAACACCCAAGCAACAGCATAACAGCCTCCAAGAACATCTTAGCAACCATCCAGAACTTCCAAGTAACTGTGTAGCAACAGCACAGAATATCCTAGCAACCAGTCAAAAAAAAAACCCTAGCAACCAAGAACATCTTAGAACACCCTGGAAACTGCATAGCAACCACCCAGAAGACCCTAGCAACCATCAATAACACCCTAGCAACAGCATAACAACCACCTAGTACACCCTAGCAACTGCACAGCAACCACCCAAAACATCCTGAACAGCAACAGCTGACAAAATCCCAGGAGGAGCTCGATTCTCTACAGACGGAAGAAATCACCTAGCAACCACCAAGAAAGCCCTAGTTACTGCATAGCAACCACTTGGAACACCCTAGCAACAAGTCAGGCCACCCTAGCAACCACCAAGAACATCTTAGCGACCACCCAGAGCTCCCTAGCAAATGCATAGCAGCCTCCCAGAATACCCTAGAAACTGCTTAACAAACACTCAGAACACCCTAGCAACTAGTCAGGTCACACTAGCAACCACAAAGAACATCTTAGCAACCACACAGAACTCCCTAGTTACTGCATAGATGCCTCCCAGAACACTCTAGAGTAGTAAGTAACTGAGTAGTAAGCACTCGGAACACCCTAGCAACCACCAAGAACGTCTAAGTAACCATAACCCAGAACTCCCCAGCAACTGTATAGCAGCCACCCAGAACACCCTATAAACTGCACAGTAATCACTCAGAACACCCAAGCAACAACATAACTCCAAGAACACCCTAACAATCAGCCAGAACATCTTAGCAACCATCCAGAACTTCCAAGTAACTGTGTAGCAACAGCACAGAATATCCTAGCAACCAGTCAAAAAAAAAAACCCTAGCAACCAAGAACATCTTAGAACACCCTGGAAACTGCATAGCAACCACCCAGAAGACCCTAGCAACCATCAATAACACCCTAGCAACAGCATAACAACCACCTAGTACACCCTAGCAACTGCACAGCAACCACCCAAAACATCCTGAACAGCAATCACTCAGAACATGCTAGGCACCACCCAAAACATCTTAGAAACCACCCAGAAGTCCTTAGCTACTGCATAGCAACACAGAACTCCCTAGCAACCAGTCAAAACACTCTAGCAACCACCAATAACATCTTAGCAAAACCATATTAACTGCAAAACAACCATCCAGAAAACCCTAACAACCATCAAGAACACCCCAGCAATGGCATAACAACCACCAGGTACACCCAAAACTGCTTAGCAACCCTCCACAGCACTCTAGCATCAGTCGTTGAGTTTTCAGTGTTCTTCAGAAGGTGAAGCGTGTGGTTTGGGTGTGGTGGGTTTGTAAGGCACCTGCGATGCCTGACTCTGCTGTCCATGTAGGCAGCTCACTCACTAGAGCGCGTCTCTCGCTGACTCATGCTCTGTGGGCGTCATGCTAACCGCTCTCAGCGCAGGACAGCTGCACGCTTTCACACCATCTCACTGTGTGAATCTGTCTCTCTCTCGCTCTCTCACACACACACACACACAGAGTGTGAGTGTGTGCCAGAGGAGAGAAAGACAGACACAGGAGAGAAAGACTCCAGCTTTACTACTGAACACACACACACACTACAGGACAGATACAGAGCACTGCTGCACGCACAGGTATATGCATTTTATTTATATATGCACAGGTTCACACACTCCTTCATGATTTTTCATCACACTTTCACACATCGTGATTCATACGGTCATGTTTAGTCATAATGTGCTGGTGTGTGAGTGAGTGTGTGTTTGTGTGAGTATGTGTGTGTGTGTGTGTGTGTGTGTGTGTGTGTGTGTGTGGGCTGATGGCAGGAAGTGACCTTTGCTCCCTTAGCTGATCTTTGAGCTTGTCCAAATGGCTGAAGGTTTAGCTGGTTATCATCACTATATCCTTTTTGGGTATATAACCATTTGCGCAATTTCCCCAGTATTTTCCACTCCCATTAGCACTTTTAGCTGTAGCTTAGCATAGATCATTGAATCTGATTAGACCGTTAGCATCTCGCTCAATGATATTACTATATCAATGATATTAGGAGACTATTTTCAGGCGCTGCGTAATATTATTGCGCCTGCTGCACTCATGGTACGGCAGCAAAGTTCCTTGATTATTACGCCAGAATAAGAGTATAGTTCCTAGCCATATCGGCCTAGAAAATCGCAACTTTTCATTTTCCGTCGGTCTTAGTACACGATGTAACTACAGAAGAGTCAAGTTTTATTTTCCACTCCCATTTGCACTTTTTTGGAATTGCGCTCTCACGCTAATTTGTCCTGTTTAGTAAACCTGGCCCATAGTTTATATATAAAATATGCAATATGCAGAAAATAGCATAATTAAAATAAAGAGATTTTCTGGCAGACCAAATCTTTATAAATAAATAAAATATTTTTTTAACCCCAACCACTGGCTATACTGGGTAATTTAATAAATAAATAAATAAATAAATAAAAAGGTACGGTAATTGTTTACGTTGTTAGGTTATTTTCATGACAACACAGAAGCTGGGTAAAATGTTGTTCCCGTCGGCGACGGTTCAAAATGTAACGGTCAACAGACAGCTGCAGCCTCATTAAGAAAATTAAGTTAATATCGTTTTGATATGTAACTCTCACAACATTAAGTATTATCTATTTAAAGTTAAAATAGATCACTAAAACTGATTTTTTTTTTTTTAAGTTTTAATTCCCTTTTGTCCGCTTTACTTTCTCTGGAGAATGAGTTAACTCGCTAACATCATTCAGTGACACAGTACCTTTCCACGGTCACAATATTTAGTCATGCATTTATATTTTGTATTATCAATGTACTAGTTTATGATTTGTTCATTTACGTAATTTTGAAATGTACATGGCAGCTCATTTTCCGACTCACCTAGAGTTAAACAGTTGAGTTTTACCTTTTTCGAATCCATTCAGCCGATCTCTGGGTCTGGCGGTAGCACTTTTAGCTGTAGCTTAGCATAGATCATTGAATCCTATTAGACCGTTAGCATCTCGCTCAATGATATTACTATTTCAATTATATTAGGAGACTATTTTCAGGCGCTGCGTAATATCATTGCGCCTGCTGCACTCATGGTACCTCTCGTGCCTCCACACCGCATGTGTGAGAGTGTGTAGTAAATGGATCATCTCACCCACATCACTGGAAACACTGCAGCATCCTCGCGATTATTCTCGACGGCCGTATTTCTCTCTGAGTCCGTCTCGGTGGATTCGTGTCGGTGTAGCGGATCGCGGCTGCTCGGTAAGATGCTGCAGGTAACCGCGATTCATTTATCTTCCTCATTAACCCTGCAGATGATGCGCACGTATCTGTCAGTGTGCCACCGTGTGTGTCTTATGTCAGAAGTGTGTATGTGATCTGTGTCAGAAGCGTTTCTGCGATGCTGAATACAGGAGCTGAAGGCCTGCTGGAGCATTTACACACAGTCTCAGTCTATTTCTGGTCTGATGCTGTTGTGTGGGAGCTGGTCATGTTGGATAGATATATGGTTCTCTGGAGATTCAGAAATGTTCCTGAGGTTACATTATTGGCCATATCAGTGTATTAGTTCTAGATATCATCCTCAGAGCATCAAACAATAGATGCATTGTAAAGAACCATAGAACATCAAACAGGTTTTTGTGTGATATCATAGAAACTCAGAAGGGTTCTGCTACAACTTTAAAATCTTCTATGACATAATGGGAACTTAATGGTACAATAGCATCATAACAACTTGAAATGTTTCCACTATTACATTTTTAGGACTTAATATGTTCTTTGCTTCGTGGAATTCAGAAGTTATAATGACATAATATAAATTTTAAATGGTTCTACTATGACTTTATTAGAAAAGTGTAAGTGTAACGAAAAACATTTATATTAATATGATGTTGTAGGTTTGTTGAGTTGTAATGTTCCAGTAGTACACCATATTGTTTAATTTACATAAATACAGCTTCATCTATAGATTGCCCATATTATTTAATCATTGAAACAACTTTAGGAACAGTACAAGGTGTTCTTTAAGTGTAGTGCACAGAATATTGCAAGAACTCCACAACTGTCTTAAAAGAATGTTCAAACAATAATAATAATGTTAACATAGATAACATAAAATGTTTTATAACATCGTGGAGCTCAAAAAGGTTCAATGGCATCATAGGAACTCGAAAAGCTTCTACTATGACGTTTTTAGGACTTGTTCTTTGACGTCATGGAACTCAAAAAATGGTTCAATGACGTAAAAACTTGAAAAGGTTTTTACTCTGAGTTTTTTATGTTCTATAACATTGTATGACATCATAAGGACTTAAAGTTCTACAATAAACAATATAGAAATAATGACCTCTAAACGGCTGTGTCTGTAAACATGGAGGGGTAAACGCAGTTTATGTTCTGTAACATTGTATGACATCATAAGAACTTAAAGTTCTACAATAAACAATATAGAAATAATGACCTCTAAACGGCTGTGTCTGTAAACATGGAGGGGTAAACGCAGTCAGTGCTTTTGTTGATGCTTTCACTTTTGCGTCAAACATTCACACTCATGCAGCTATTGCAGAGACATCGTATTAGACGACTTTACACATTTCTTTGACTCACGTAAATAGCACAGAGTAAATGCGTCATCTGTGTCAGAATGTCATGATTGGCCCAGAGTAGACGTCTTACGTCAGCGTGTTCTGAACTCATACGTGCTCATACGGTAATATTGCGCTGCGTTCACACAGAGAGCATTATCGGTAATTTACTGGTAATGTTACAGCTTCTCATACCAGTAAATTGCCAGAACAAATTTACCGGTATTTTTGAAAAGGTCCTGTTCACACATGATCTCTTAACGGTAATTTACTAGTAATTTACCAGTAAAGACTGTGTGTGTGTGTGTGTGTGTGTGTGAAAGGAGATTATGACTTTATTAGGACATGTTCTGTGACATAATAGAACTCAAAACATTTAAAATAGTTCTATAGAATCTTTGAAACTTCAGGTTTTCTTATGGCATCATGGTTGCTTTAAAATATTCTGTGACATCACAGGAGAACTTTTTTAAGTTCACATCACATCCAAGGTTCTTCTGTGGCATCAGGCTGTACAGCTATATTTGGCTGTTTAATATATAGTACTGTGAGTGAGATGAATCTGTGATCACCGCTGGAACATGGAGTGGAATAATTCAATAAGGAGAGCATAAAAGGCCATTGACAGAATTAAACGTCTCCGTGGGGATCTGCTTGATGAAAGTGTGTCGTGTTGCGGAGCAGATGTCTTCGCTGAGATCACACTCATCAGAGACTCGTCCCGGGCTCACACACGGCACCGCAGTCATGGTGGGTCTGTTGTTTTCTTCTCATGTCTACAGCAGATGAACCAGGCCTGCGTTTCTCAAAATCTTCATAATAAGTAGATCAGCACCAGTGCTCTCTATGATCAACTTAGGTAGCTCAGGTCATTTATGTTCCAAAAATGTTAAATTTTGGTTGTGAGAATGTTAAAATGGGAATGGGAATCTAAATTGTTAGTAGCAGGTCATTTAAAGCATTAATGGTCGACCATTATGTAGAGAGCAGGATCACTGATGGTCATGCTGGTGTTGTATAGTACAATTTAAAGGGACAGTTCACCCCCAAAAAAAAAAAAAAATCTTCTTCTTCTTTTCAGCACAAAAGAAGATATTTTGAAGATTGATGGTAACCAAACAATTGCTGATAGCCATTGACTTTAAAAGTATGGGGAAAAAATACTATGAATGTCAATGGCTACCAATGACCGTTTGGTTACCAAATATCCTTTGTGTTCAACAGAAGAAAGAAATTCATACAGGTTTGGAACAACTTGAGAACTATATCTCTTTAAGGATGTTTACCAAACATTTAATCATTTAAAATTGTTTTAAATGTTCCCTGATGGTTACATACCTCAAGTTATTTAAATGCATATTGAATTAGTTATCAATTCACACATTCTAAATAACATAATTTTGTTTTAGATGCATCGAACTAAAGGTGAGTTGTATTTCTTCACACCATCTTCATTAATCCTATTGAGAGTCATCTCCTTTTGTTGTGTTGGTCTAGTTTTGAAAAAGTGATAATGAAAGTGCTGATGTTAGCGGCTCCTGGTTCAAAGCCAGCAGGTTTTGTGCGGACGCAGAACGGATCTGGACTGGCCTCGTTGTGTTTTGCCCAAGTTTTGGAGCAGATGAACCCTGAAGTACGGCGTGGGTTTGTCACCGAGTGCAGCGCTGGGTTTAGAGAGGCTCTATGAAGGACGTGTAGGATTAGGTTCTGCCTCACACACAGAAATACAAAGTCGAAGAGCGCATCAGGTTTTTTAAGGTATCTAATATTTTGATATTTAATTTCCATGATCTAAATATTCTTGCAGTCATGGTGGGTCTGTTGTTTTCTTCTCATGTCTACAGCAGATGAACCAGGCCTGCGTTTCTCAAAATCTTCATAATAAGTAGATCAGCACCAGTGCTCTCTATGATCAACTTAGGTAGCTCAGGTCATTTATGTTCCAAAAATGTTAAATTTTGGTTGTGAGAATGTTAAAATGGGAATGGGAATCTAAATTGTTAGTAGCAGGTCATTTAAAGCATTAATGGTCGACCATTATGTAGAGAGCAGGATCACTGATGGTCATGCTGGTATTGTATAGTACAATTTAAAGGGACAGTTCCCCCCCAAAAAAAAAAAAAAATCTTCTTCTTCTTTTCAGCACAAAAGAAGATATTTTGAAGATTGATGGTAACCAAACAATTGCTGATAGCCATTGACTTTAAAAGTATGGGGAAAAAATACTATGAATGTCAATGGCTACCAATGACCGTTTGGTTACCAAATATCCTTTGTGTTCAACAGAAGAAAGAAATTCATACAGGTTTGGAACAACTTGAGAACTATATCTCTTTAAGGATGTTTACCAAACATTTAATCATTTAAAATTGTTTTAAATGTTCCCTGATGGTTACATACCTCAAGTTATTTAAATGCATATTGAATTAGTTATCAATTCACACATTCTAAATAACATAATTTTGTTTTAGATGCATCGAACTAAAGGTGAGTTGTATTTCTTCACACCATCTTCATTAATCCTATTGAGAGTCATCTCCTTTTGTTGTGTTGGTCTAGTTTTGAAAAAGTGATAATGAAAGTGCTGATGTTAGCGGCTCCTGGTTCAAAGCCAGCAGGTTTTGGGGCGGACGCAGAATGGATCTGGACTGGCCTCGTTGTGTTTTGCCCAAGTTTTGGAGCAGATGAACCCTGAGGTACGGCGTGGGTTTTTCACCGAGTGCAGCGCTGGGTTTAGAGAGGCTCTATGAAGGACGTGTAGGATTAGGTTCTGCCTCACACACAGAAATACAAAGTCGAAGAGCGCAGCCGTGTGAAGGGCAGAGATGTTCAGGCAGATCAGCTGATGCTACACTGTCAAAATGATTGTAATTTTAACAGTAATAGACTGGGAATATGCTACGGCATAAATCTGTTAACTGGTTAACAGGAAGTTCTCTTACTATATATGATGAAACACTAATAGTTTCGTCAATTTCACAGTAAAATACTATTATATTTTGTTTTTGGAAGTGAAATAGAATAAACCACCCTCTGTGTTGGGGGTAGTAATGTGAGTTATCTAATCAGATTACTTTTTTCAAGTTACTAGTAAAGAAACGCATTACCTCTAAATGTACAACTAAATATCTTGAGTTATTTTTTTCAAATAGGTAAGTCACTTTGCTTTTCCATTTATTCACTGACATTTCTCATTGTTGAGAGAAACACTGGGAGTGAGGTGCAGAGGCCTGAGGCTGATTCATTTCACTTTAGGTCCCTGGCAGCTGCCAAAAATATAACTTTTGGGTCTTTTGTTATTAAAAAACAAATAAGCAAGCCCAGCCCAGGGCAAAAGGTAATGCAAAAGAAAAATAATGCATTACTTTCCATAAAGAATAACTAAGTAATGCAATTAGTTACTTTGTAATGCAGTATCACAATATAATATACTACTTTCAAAAGTAACTTTCCCTAACACTGATTAGCATTCACTTCAGCTTGTGGAAAAGCTTCTTTGATTCATCCTGTGGTTTTCTCATTATCATCTGTGTTTTTAAAGTGGCTGTTTAGATACGAAACAGATTTTAGTACTTAAGTAGTACTTTACTGTTAATGGAGTACTGTTTTTTTACTGTAAACTTAAGTTCAATCTGTGAAACCTATTTTTTTTATGGTGAAGTTCTGATAACCACAGCTGCCAGCTTTGTACCATTAATTTCACAGAATTAAAATTGATTTATTTGTATTTTATTTTACAGTGTACCTGTCCTATAAACAATCAGTCATCTCCCCACAGTCAGATTTGTTTGATGGCTTCTAGTGAATGCAATCGTGAGATGTTTCCCAGCTCTGCTGCTGCTGTGATTAACAGCAAACTCTCAGCTCCTCCAGATTAAGCTCAGATAACCCTTCGGCCTCCGGTGTTTTCTGAATGAAACGCACACGGCGTGAGGGTTAAACGTGCCGCTGTGATTCACTGCTGGTCTGCTGCTCTCTGTGTCTGTGGGCTGATGGGTAACAGCGTGAGCTGATTCATTGGTAAAGTTTGTGAGTCAAAGATGCGTTTATTAATTTAGCAGGTGCTTTCAGCAGCATTTCAGATGCATTAATCATTGGGGATCGAACCCATCACCTTGATGTTGCGAGCGCAGGAACGCAGATGTATACGGGCCGTCTGAAGGATGTTTGGGTGCTGGGGTAAATTCGGGGTCTGTTTTTGGAGACAGATAACGCATGGCTCTCTCTCCCCACCGACCCACTTCTTGCGGCCGTGTTTTTTTAAGATGAGAGCAAACTGGAGCCGATCTGAATTATTGATGATGCTGAAAATGGTAATCGCTGTCCTCCCGCCGCAAATGAAGAGGGAGGGGGGCATTTTAATTAGAACTGCATCTGTTTATGTGCTCAAAAGCTTGTTAACTCTCTACAGACCACAAAAACGACAGGAAATGATGTTTAGTAAATGACCTTTGACCTCTTTAGTGTCTCTTCTGCTCACAAAGGCTGCATTTATTTGAACAAAAAATACTGTAAAAATAGTGAAATATTATTACAATTCTAAATAACTGTTTTCTATGTGATTATATGTTAAAATTTAATTTATTTCTGTGATGCGCAGCTGAATTTTCATCATCATTACTCCAGTCTTCAGCGTCACATGATCTTCAGAAATCATAATAATATGCTGATCTGCTGCTCAAGAAACATTTCTGATTATTATCAATGTTGAAAACAGTTGTGCTGCTTCATATTTCTGAATATTTGTCACTTAAAAATCTTACTTGTGTGTGTGTATATATATATATAGCGCCTCAACGACCACGGCAAGAACTGGAGACACGTCTACAAGGTGTGCGCATCCGTCTCGAGCGTGCATTCAAATAAACTAAAACAAGAGATTTCCCTCAACACCTCTGACGGAGCAGGATTCCCACAGTCTCAGAAAACCTGGAGATATGAGAAAAATGATCACCATTTATTTCAAGCTATTAATTAGTGAAAAGTGAATTAGTGATTTTTTTTTAGGTTAATTTAAACAAAAGTGATTTTTGGTTTATGTATAGTCTAATTAGTGATTTCTATCCTAATTTTTAACAAGCGTTATTTTGAGTTTATTTATAGTCCAATTAGTGATTTCTAGTCTAAAATTTGTTATTTTTTTGCGATTTCTAGTCTAATTAGTGAGTCCTAGCTTAATTTTAAAAAAGTTTAGTTTTAGTTTTAGTTTGTTTAGTCTAATTAGTGATTCCTAGCCTTTTTTCCTAGTTTTTTTTCTAGTCTAATTAGATTTTTAGCCAGATTTTAAAGTCTTATTTTTAGTTAATGTTTAGTTTGTCTAGTCTAATTAGTGATTTCTAGCTTAATGTTTTAAAAAATGATTATTTTTAGTTTTTTTCTACTCTAATTAAGGATTTTATGTGATTTCTAGGCTAATTATTTTTAGTTAATTTTTTAGTCTTATTACTGATTTCAAGTGATTTTAGTCAATTTTTAGTCAATTAAAAACTCTGATTTGTAATTATAAAGTCTAGCTTGTGATTTCAAGTTATTTCTAGCCTAATTTAAAAAAAGTGTTAATTGTATTATATTTTTAGTTTATTTCTAGTAAAATTAGTGATTGCAGTGTGATTTTCTAGCATAATTTAAAAAGTGTGTGATTTCTAGTTTACTTCTAGTCTAATTACAGATTTCAAGTTATTTCTAGACTAATTTAAAAAGTGTTAATTGTATTATATTTTCAGTTTATTTCTAGTCTAATTAGTAATTTCTAGCCTTTTTTTAGTGTATTTTAATGATTACAAAGTGATTTCTAGACCTTGGAAAAAGTCATGGAAATGGATAAAATCTTATTTTTTATTTATTTATTTTGTAAATCATATGCATTTTTTTTTAGCTTAGTAAAATATTTTATCCAGTAGAAATTGTGAGAATTTTTTTATTTTTTATTTCATTCTTAACTTTAATCCAGTAAACCAAATGAATGGAAAAGTCATGTAAATTAATTGGTTAAAAAAGCGGGAACCCTCAAAAATATTCAGCTCTTAAAACTGGAATCCTGAAATGTAATTATTTTAATTATAATTAAAAATATTTTAGTTACTTATTGTAATGTGTGAAAACTCCTGGTTTCTGTAAATTACAGCAGATGAACCAGAGGAAATCTTTTTGTTTTCTGGACAGCAGAGTCCAATAGGTTGAGAAAGGAGTGCAGAGATCTGGTTTGTCTGTGTGCTCAGGCGCTGACGCTGCTGGACTATCTGGCTAAGACGGGCTCGGAGCGCGTGGCCCAGCAGTGCCGCGAGAACGCCTTCACCATCCAGACGCTGCGCGACTTCCAGTACGTGGACCGGGACGGGCGCGACCAGGGCGTGAACGTGCGCGAGAAAGCCAAGCAGCTGGTGGCTCTGCTGCGGGACGAGGAGCGTCTGAGGCAGGAGCGGGCGCAGGCGCTCAAGACCAAAGAGAGGATGGCGAGCGGCGTTCCTCCGGCGTACCCCAGCAGACGCAGCAGTCAGCCCAGCATGAACGCTCTGTACGGAGAAGAGTTCAGCCGCTCCAGAGGATCGCCGTCATCCTTCAACTGTGAGACGCACGCTCTTTAACTCCTGCTGTTAGCTCAGTGTCAGCTTCCATTCGTTTAAACAACAGCATATACTGTATAATATAACAAGATAAACCAACAGAAGAATGATGAATGATACAGTAGATAAAACAAACAATCGGGTACAAAATTATTTTTTTTTATTTCATTTAATTGACAATATATTTAGCACTTGAATTTGAAACCAAAACTCAACATATTTGTTGTAAAAACATTTTTATACTTTCTAGAAAACTGACTTTGATGCTGCAGTTAGCTAAAACTATATTACTCGACATTTAAGCTATTTAAGGGCAATGTCTCTTCAAATATAGATCTATAAATTATGTATATTCTGGCATTATAATGAGGAAGATCTCAGTTAGGATGACCACATTTGAAAAAAAAAATTGCAATGAATGAATACAATAAATGGAATAAGATAAAATAATAAAATTGAAAAAAAATGGAAGGGAAAAATGAAAAAAAAAAAACTTAAATATATAATAAATATTTTAAAACATGGTAAAAAATAATGTGTAGGCTGTCATTTCCATACTCTCTCTCTCTGTATAAATATGTGTGTGTGTATTATACAGTTATTTTTTGTCTGAAAGTGACATCCTCATATTCCTCATAGCTAATAATGAGACAACTTTAGTGCTTTTCTCCTGCAGTCTCCTCACAGCTGCTGCTGCCATGTGCTCGTGTGTTTGTAGTCTAATGAGGCCGTGTCTCACACACACACACACACACACACACACACACACAAACACACACACACACACACACACACACACACACACACACACACACACACACACACACAAATAAATCATAAATAAAGGTGAATGATCCTCACCCGTCTGTCTGTCTGTCTGTCAGCGTCCTCCTCGTCTCCCCGAGCGTCTGATCTGGAGCAAACTCGACCGCAGACGAGTGGAGAAGAAGAGCTACAGCTGCAGCTCGCGCTGGCCATGAGCAGAGAGGTACACTCACACAGATTTGATATTATGGACTTATGAAGCATTTATGTTTTATTACAGTTTATTACATTTATATTTTTAATTTATTTAAAAAACATTATTTAAGTTTCTTAAAATATTTTCATATATTTTTAGTTATTGTTATGATTATGATTATTTTATTATATTACAGTCATTTTAGGTCATTTTTAGGTTTCTTAAAAAAGTATGTATATTTAGCATTTACATCTTACATCATATATTTTACAATTATTTTATTCATAATTTTATATTTTATTTATTAATATTTTATTGTAGTACAATTGATCACTTTTAAAGTTAAGAATACTTTTTCAGCCATTGTAGGTTTGTTAGTTGTAGTTGTAGTGTACAGTAATGATCCTGACACACACTCTTTCTTCTTTTCAGTAGCGGTTTCCTAAATTAACTGTAAATGATCCTTGTAGGTCTTCAGTTTCTGTGGTGTTTGAGTGTCTTTTCATTCCCAGCATTCAGCAGCCGGAGCGTTTCCATCTCTGAATCCCCACGGCACGAGCCGGTCGAGTGTGAGTGTGTGTGTGTGTTTGTTTGTTTTTGTTTGTGTGTGT